GGAAGGACGACTGCTACAGATATGGTTTCTCGGATTCAAAAGAAATAAATGGGTCGGGTCTAAGCCCAGATTGTTATATCTTGCATAGAGATATCTATCTTTGAGCTATTGGTAAAGGATAGTCTTGTTTGTTGTAGAAGTTGCATGAGGATTAGGTGAATTAAAACCTTTCACTTTTACTTCTCTCATTTGAACATTATTTCATACTCATTTGTTGAAGTGTATTGTTTTTTAGAAAAATGGGTAAATACCTTGATAAATCTAGTTAAGGGGTGCGGTTATGGTTATTATAGTTGTTGTCCAGTGTGTTCGTAATGAAAATCCAAAAACCCATGTGGTGAGGTGCTGATCATGCCAGTTAATACCGGTAAAATGGCTTCGGTAATGCCTATATAGCCTACTAGTTGACACGTACCTAGAGATTCCCAATGTATGTATTCACTACCCTATTTTCTGTTTTGGAAATAAAATGTTATGAAGTTAACTGTAAACTTAGCATTGCATTAAATGAAAGATGAAAATATGCATCATTTTGGAAAGGACATTCAAGTGCATTTACCATATGTCCTTCTTAAGCTTCATGCAGTTTATTAAATTAATTTCTACTGGGTTTTAACTCACTCTCTGTGGAAACCAACTTTCAAGTGATGATGATATGCTACTGCTAAGGAATTAGCTTAGGAGGAGTGTGGAGTTGAAGGCTCACTTTTGTCATTGTTTTCGTGAACATTTTGTACAAGCCTGGGGCATATATGTATTAGGTTCTATCCTACTTTTGTTGTACCCAAGTTTCATCTTGGAAACGTGTGGCCACTAAAGCATATAACTATAATTGTTTAGATATTCATGCTTAACCATTACATGCTATAGATCAGGATGTAAAATCGATGAATGTATTATGCATGTGAATTGGTTTGGGGTATTAATGAATGGAAAAGGTGTCAGAGAATTTGTATATATGTGTACACATGTTTTGTTTCACCTTATTGAGTGGATGAATGTCAGATTAAGGATGGTTTGAATTTTCTAATTTATCTAGGCATTACAACGTCATAAGTTACATGTGTGCCACGTTTGTTAGTTCAACACTTGTTCTTCTTCTACAACGGTTTGGCATGACCATAAACTATCTCCCTACATTGGCTCTGTTATCTCTGACCATAAACTATTTTCCGGTATCAGTGCTAATTGCTCTTACAATAGTCTACCACGATTGTAAACTATCTTCTAGCATTATTATTATTATTTTATTTTATTTTCTCTTGTTTCTGTTTCCAAACTCCAGTTGGTCTCTTTGCAACCACCTTGAGTTTGAGGGGGGCTATTAGTGAATATGGTGTATATATATTATATTTACTATATATATTACATGTTGTAATTAGGCTTTACTATGGTAGGATTTTTCCATAGCTTTTTTGTTGCCCACTCTTATCTTACCTATATACAGTCCTCTTCATTGTATTGTAAGACACACAATATTGAATATACACATAATATAATATTCTATCACTCTTTCTCTCCGTAGCTCGATTTTTCGTGCTATTTTCGAATACGACTAGCCCTACAGTTCGAACTCTCGTGGTTCTGAATCTGCTTTCACAAGTGCAATGTGAAACAGTGAAAACACAAAAAAATTCCAAATTTGGCAATTCTTTTTGAAAAATCGATATTTGAATCAAATGCCAAAAATGGACTGCTTTGCCAGATTACAGAGTTGCCACCTAAATATTTTTGAAAAATTTAGGAAACTCGAGACTCATGCCAAAGGCCACTTATCCATTATCACCATAGTGTCTCGGCTTGGGAACTTAGGTACGAGAGGGAAAGGTCATGAATTGAGCACCCCACTCGCCTGATTAAAAATCAGCCTCTACTAATCATGATGTGATTCTTATTTACATTATATGCTCTTGTTCCGATTTATTAGGCTAACTTACTATGTGATGCGCACATAAGTATAGACTAATTTGCAAAAACTAGAACATTTTGATTTCATGTTTGTTTTTGAAAAGTGTTTGAATATGTACCACTTGAAAAAGCAATCTCATATGTACATTACTCAAATTATTCCAATTCAAGCAATTAGCCTTCATCCACAGGCATTTAAGCAATTATATCGATTAAGCACTTAGCCTTATGGCAAGGATGCTATACATGGAAACAATCACACTGATGCAATATGCTAAAGCACAAAAATACTCACCTAGTACTCCGAGGCGAGCGAAAAGAAACAAAAGAGTTAGAAAACATGCATGTTCGAAATTAATGCAACACGGCTAATGCAACACGGCTAATGCAACACATACAATGGTGCAACTAATAGGTTCGACTACTAATTATGACATGTGAATCAATTTGATAGCATGCGGTTTAAACACATATTCAATGAAGTAAAAAACGGCAATGCTTGTTAGAATGATGAACCGAGCCTTGATTCATGCAAGACAAGTGGGTGCAAATCATGGAATATACTAATATGAAACATGATATTGTATTTTATCCATCATAAGTTGATAAACAAAAGGGAAAAAGACATGGGGTTGGAAGACATACACACTTATTACAATTTTCCCTCGCGTACGAGGTTCCGAATGAATGAACTAGCTAAGCTACAAATTAACAAACTATTAAAAACCAAATGAATAAATTAGCTACACTAGCTAATTAAATTATTATTACAACAACGAATTGACTAACCACTTTAGCAAATTAATTAAGCACAACACAAAAATAACTAATTAGTTACAAGTCCGCTATTTACAATATGCTTCTATTATAACATTATTTCATGGACCCCAAGAATCGAGGGATGGTTCATGCATGGATGCGGGTTTCCACCCGAAAAAGCCCTTTGTTTTGCTATTGGAATGCCTCTGTTGCACAGTTAGAAAATTGCACAATTTTTCCACCTTAGCCTCTGCTCTGCTCTACTCTACTGGACAAAGGACATTGCTTGCTTGGAAAAAGTGGCTGCCAACCTAAAAGTAGTGGCCTGCCGCCTAGTAAAAGCAGCCTGCCGGCATCTAATGTTGGTTCTTTCCTACAGCAACAGAGAACAAACAGAGCACAAACTAGAGTATTCTCACTGGTTGTTTGTCCACCCTGCCACTCCTTATCAGCAAACAGGCCAAATGAGGGGTAGGCTTGATTCGTAAACCATCAATCGACACAATTTCATTATGTGATGACTTATAAATCAAGGGACACAATTTCAATAAATGTTAAAGAAAGACCAACAAAACCTCCTCCCTATCATTGATTGATCAAGGCAAATGGTTGACCTTGGAAACTTGAACCATTTCATCACTAACAAGTATGAAATGACTCAAGTCTCCATGTGTTCAATTAACATCCGATTGAACACCAAATCATGTTATTATCTTGTTCCATTTTAGTCCAAGTTTAACACCTCTTTTAATTATCTTTCTTTCCTTAATTCATTTAGTCCAAAAATGAAGATTAAGTTCTCTAATGGAAAGAAGTGTCAAACAAAGGGTTATTTTAGGCATGAGAGAGATGTCATGCCATTGGTAATGAACCTCCGAAGAGATTAAACCATTAAGTACAACAGTCGCAATATCAAGCTTAAACCATCCATAAGAAGGAGGTTGTAGAGATGATTAGAGGTGATCACAAGTATGGAAAGCTTGAAACAAATACTATCAACTCAAATAGGTTGGTGCCTAATGCCTAAAACACCAAGCCTATAAGGACCATTACACTACAAGCATACTATACAAAGCATAAATGAAGCTAACACATAAAAATAGTCCTAAAATAGTCCAAAAGAGTGCTGGAATTAAGACAAAAACAACTACAACAACTAGCTAAAATATTGAGGGATTAAAACTAGCACACAAGCACAAGGTGGGGAGGCTAACCCCTCCAATTTTGGGACTTTAAAAAATGATTTTTGCCCAAAAATCAGTTGTAAAAAGCTCAAAAAAAAGTTGATGAGAAGGTGGGAAACACAGGGGCAAAGGCCTTAGAAGCAAGGTTCAAAGAAGGGTTGACAACCCCTCCACCTTTAATGGCCTTAAACCACAAGTTTCAGCCCAAAAATATAGGATATAAATGACTCAAAATAAGTATGAAAAGATAGAAAACAAGTAGTGTAAAGATGATACAAAAACACAAGAATATATACCTGTTGAATAGGAATGATCCCTCGAGCTATAAACCACCAATTCACACTCTTAAGTGCCTCAAGAGCTAAAACACAAGCTCCAATCACCTCAGCAAGGGACTCTCTAGGTTTGGTTTAGAGTGTTTAGGTAAAAGTTATGTAAGTTGCAAGAGAGAGAGAATTGTAGAGAGTGAGAGAGAGATTTTCCAAAATTTTACTCTCCAAAATTTTTATAACCTTTCTAACAAAAGAGAGGGTCATCTATATATAGAAATATATGAGAGAAATGTCCTTACAAATACAGCTAGAGTGGTGCATGCATCTGTAGAGACAGCTTGTAGAAAATACACTACAATAAAATACACTTTTGGTGACCAAATTTGGCGACTAAAAAAAATTTAGTCGCCAAAACTTGTGGAATTGGCGACTAAGATTTTTTTTTGTTGGCAAAAGTACAACATATAGGTACTAATTATTTTTAGTCGGAAAATATTCAATATTGCTAACTAAAAAAAATTTAGTCACAAAAAATGGCACAATTGGGGACTAAAAAATGTTTTAGTTGCTGTATATATGGTTTTGGCTACTAAATTTTTTAGTCGGCAAATGAAAAAGAAAAATTACTTTTAGACTTTTGGCGACCAAAAATTTATTTTTACCGACTAAAAAATATTTTAGTCGCCAAAGAATTAAAATATTTGGAGGGAAAATTTCAAATTTTGGAGGGATTTATAAAATTAATTAGCAAACATAATTTTTAGTTGCCAAATTACTACTTTTAGCGACTAAAATAATATTTAGTCGCTGTTAATTAAGGTTTTGGCTACTAAAAAAATTTTAGTCGGCATTGATCAAATTTTGTCTAAGACTACTCTGTCAGTCCTCTCCCATTTCACTCTCTCATGATCCCTTCTCTCTTTCTCTCTCTCTCTCTCCAACGCAAGCGATCCTCCTACCAGCCACCGTCCTCCACTATCGCACACGAGCACCCACCTCCTCACCGGCGACGGTATGACCCACCTCTCCACCAGCAACAGTACCACATATCTCCCCACCAGCGACGGACAATAGTAGCTACTTTGATTTGTGTCTCCTCCAGCGCACACCAAGTATTTCTGGCCTCTTCCTCTCTCTATATATATATATCTTCCCCCAATTTCTAAGGTTTTATAACAAAGAATTTGTTTTTCTATTTTTTTTTTTTGGTTATAAATCAGAGGGTAGGAGCTTCTCTTTTATCTATTTCTTGTAAGAGCAACATTTTTTTCTCTCTATTTCTCGCTCGCAACAACCATTGGAGCACACCCTGGTATTTCCCCTTCTTCTTCCTCTTCCTCTCTCTCTCTCTCTCTCTCTCTCTCTCACAACCATTGGAGCTCACCCTGTTAAATCCAATTGATTCTTTTATTATCCTACATAATGATTCTTAATCATACTTTTATTCAATTCTAATTTTCTTTTAATTAATTAGTTTGTGTGTGATAATGTTGCTATTGTTGTTGTTGGTAGTTTATTTGTTGTTGTTGTTTGGGCTATGTTTTTTATTGTTGTTATTTTCCACCCTCTTGCTCACCATGTGTTTGACAAAATGTTGAAACGAAATTGGTGAAGTTGAATTGACAATTTGTTTGCCTTTTTATAATTGAAATTGAAATTGAATGTTGTGGAAAGTGAAATTTCAAAGTCATTGAACCTTCCTTGCATTCTTCTGGGCTAACCCACTAGTTGACTTGGAAATTAAGACCATAAAAAAGAGCATGTTTGATGAGTTAATAAAGCCTCATTTGAATTCATTAGTATAAAAACTGAAGACGAGTACTTTTATTTTCTATTTCTGATTATCAAGTTTTAGGTTAAAAAAAAAGTTCTACTAAATAGGATAATAAATGATGGGATTTGGGTTACAAGATTAAGGACTTGCTAAAAATGGGTTAGTACAATATATGATGGAAAGTGTTAGAGTTCCCAAATATGAGTATAAGGATAACACATCTTGTGTCATCAGCTAATAAACGTCATAAATATATAAAGTGGTTAATCATTTCAAAAGGGAAACCATACATTCATGTTAACTTATGCTCAGAAGTTCTAATGGATCTTCGTTCTTTTTCCTTTTTGTTAACAAATATTTTAATAATTACAAAAAAGTAGTTGAGTTTTTTGCATACTGGATTAGGACTATATACATCTAATCCTTTTAAATTCTATAGCAACAAGAGTCTCATGTTCTAAAATTTTCATTTTTATAAGTAATTATTCTGTCTTTTCTAAATACTATGCTAGTTATGTACAAGTCCAATAATAAGACTACATGCTTACTACGGCCAACAAAAAAAATAAAAATAAAATAAAATAACAGAAGCAACAGATAATATGAACAAATTATGAAATATCATTAGTTGAACACATGGTCAATATTCTAAACCCATGTAATAATTTGTGCCTTTTTACATAAATCTGTCATCAACAAACACAAATGCACATATAATAACACCTTATTTTTCTTCCTAATTAACACAAAGGCTTACATGAACAACATAACATATACCACATACTTTGCGAGTTTGAAGTCCCTTTCACTACCACATTCTTAGAGAAATTATTATAGAATGAATCACAAAAGAGAAATTACACTTGATGTCTTTAACAACACCAAATTCAGATATTGGGGATAGATATGAAAATTATGGAAAATAAGATAAAACTGCAAATTATTTTAGATATCACGTGGGAAGTTTTTATTTTATTTTTATACTATTATTTTAGACTCTTTTTATCTTTTGCGTGTATGCAACTTAGGTTGTGAAAAAAATTAAAGAGGTTGCAAGTTCACGGTCTTGGATGGTAAAGCTTTCTCTTTCATGTTGTATGGTCACTAGGTATCTATAGATTCTCTCAGTTTCATGTGTTGTGGCACTAGCATCTGGAGGTGGTATGTATTGGAAACTCTGGAGCTTAAATATCAAAAAAAAGAGCCACTTCTTCCTCCCATGTTTGTTAACATAATGGTTACTTTAGGATGTTGGAACATGTAGACTATTACTGTTCATTTTATAATTAGTGGTCAATGAAAATGATTTGGCATCTTTAGGCTTACTAGTTGACCAGAAGTTGTTGTATATTGCCAAGGACATGCTTAGGCTATTGTAAACTTATAATATCCAACTTTGATTGATAATCTTGTAGTTAGATGTTTGATAAGCATACTAGGTTAGTGCATGAGAAGCTGTATAAACATACCTGTCTGTGAGCTAGAGTTAACCGTTACCTTTCATAGCAAGGTATTTTTCATTCAATGAGTTTCTCTACATGCTCTGGTATACAGTTCTGCTCTCTGGGGTCCTGCACACAATCTTGATTTGCTATATGGTGGTAATTAGATTCTGCTGAGATCATAAACATTTGATGATATCTGCAGTTGAAACTTCATTAAGAATGATGGAAAAAGTGAGTTAACCCTTACCTTTCCTTCTTGTTTTCTTCTCCTCTTTTAAAGAGGCAATAAACTAATCATTGGGAAACAATGGTACTTTTTAGCATTATCAACAAGAGAAATGGAGTTTCATATGGCTTTTGCTCCATTCTTATGATTAGAGATTTGTGCAGCAACTCTCATTATCATTCATGTTGCTTCTAGTTTGTCATTTTTTAGCATTATGGTAATTTTTTTTGGCATCTCTGGTTTGACCATGGCATTTCCTGTCCGAATCTTTTAGCATGAGCTATATATATATATATATATATTATTTAGGGTTGGTTTAATGGTTTTTAAATTTTAACAACTTTGCCTTGAAATTTCGTGCCCTACCACGAAAAGGAAATAAGAAATCCTTCAAGGGCATTACTCCTCCTGCCTCATGTCACCTGGTTGAGATGCTTAAGAGGCAAAAAATATTCATCCAGTATGTTTACCATATGTAGAACATGCATTCAGCTGTTATGGCGTTTGCTTGATAACTTCATTGAAAGTTAAAACCTAGGTGTTGGTTGGTACCTGATGCCTTGTGTCTTTGTAGAGCATAGAGTAAGTTCATATAGGGAACTTGGTTGGGTTGAATTACTGCAATTTCTCATTCAAATTGCCCGAATTGTACATGGCAACACCATAGGCCTAGCAAATAACCACCGTGTGGCTCTCATGGACAGTTTTCCAATGACAAATAAGACTTGTGACAACTGACGGAATGTAATTCGGACCCATAGGTAGGGAGTTAGAGCCGCATACACCCTTAACTTAGTCGAAAAAGGTCATTTGAGGGGAAAAAATTCAAAACAGCCCCCGAACCACTGTGTGGCTCACACAGACAGTTTCCCGATGACAAATAGGACTTCTGAGAACTGATGAAATGTAATCCGGACCTGTAGGTAGGGAGTTAGAGCCGAATACGCCCTAAATTTAGTCGAGAAAGGGCGTTTCGGGGGAAAAAATTCAAAAAATCCTTCGAACCACTGTGTAGCTCTCATAGACAATTACCCATGACAAATAGAACTTGTGACAACTGACGGAATGTAATTCAAACCCGTAGGTAGGGAGTTAGAGCCGAATACGCCCTAAATTTAGTCAGAAAGGGGCGTTTCGAAAGCGAAAAATCAAAACAGCCCCCAAACCACTGTGCGGCTCATGCAGATAGTTCCCCCATGATAAAGAGGACTTGTGAGAACTGACGAAATGTAATCTAGACCCATAGGTTGGGAGTTAGAGCCCAAGATGCCTTAAACTTACTCGAAAAAGGACATTTCGGGGGCGAAAATTCAAAACAGCCCCTGAACCACCTTGTGGCTCACATGGACAGCTTTCCCATGACAAATAGGACTTGTGACAATTGATAGAATGTCATTTGGACCCGTAGGTTGGGAGTTAGAACCGAATACGCCCTAAACTTACTCGAAAAAGGGCTTTTCAGGGGCAAAAATGCATAATAGTTGCCAAAGCACCGTGTGGCTCTCATGGACAATTTTTCCATGAAAAATAGGACTTGTGAGAACTAACGAAATGTAATCTGGATCCATAGGTAGGGAATTAGAGCCGAATATGCCCTAAACTTAGTCGGAAAAGGGCGTTTTGAGGGCGAAAATTCAAAATAGCCCCCGAACCACCATGTGACTCTCATGGACAGCTTTTCTATGACAAATAGAACTTGTGACAACTGACAGAATGTAATCCAGACCCGTAAGTTGGGAGTTAGAGCCAAATACACCTTAAACTTACTCGAAAAATGGCGTTTTGGGGGTGAAAATTCAAAACAGCCCTCGAACCACCATGTGGCTCACACGGACAGTTTCCTCATGACAAATAGGACTTGTGAGAACTGACAGAATGTAATCTCAACCCGTAGGTTGGGAGTTAGAGCCGAATACGCTCTAAACTTACTCGAAAAAGGGCTTTTTGGGGACGAAAATCCAGAACAGCCCCTAAAGCACCGTGTGGCTATCATGGACAGTTTCCCATGGAAAATAGGACCTGTGAGAACTGATGAACTGTAATCTGAATCCATAGGTAGGGAGTTAGAGACGAATATGCCCTAAACTTAGTTGAAAAAGGGCGTTTCAGGGGCAAAAATTCAAAACAGCCCCTGAACCACTGTGTGACTCTCACGGATAGCTTCCCCATGACAAATAGTACTTGCGACAATTGACAGAATGTAATTCGGACCCGTAGGTGAAGAGTTAGAGCCGAATACGCCTTAAACTTACTTGAAAAGAGCTTTCCTGGGGTGAAAATTCATAACAGCCCCCAAACCACCGTGTGGCTCTCATAGACAGCTTCCCTTTGACAAATAGGACTTGTAACAATTAACGAAATATAATTTAGACCCAAAGGTTGGGAGATAGAGTCGAACATGCCTTAAACTTAGTCGGAAAAAGGCGTTCCAGGGGTGAAAATTCAAAACAGCCCTCGAACCATCATGTTGCTCTCACGGACAGCTTTCCCTTGACAAATAAGACTTGTGACAACTGTCGGAATGCAATTCGTACCTGTAGGTTGGGAGTTAGAGTTGAATACGCCTTAAACTTAGTCGTAAAAAGGTTTTCCAAGGGAGAAAATTCAAAACAACTCCCGAACCACCATGTGGCTCTCACGGATAGCTTCCCCTTGACAAATAGGACTTGTGACAACTGACGGACTGTAATTCGAACCCATAGGTTGAAAGTTAGAGCTAAATATGCCTTAAACTTAGTCAAAAAAGGACTTGTGACAACTGTTTGATAGGTTTATTTAATATTTTTCCCTAATCAATTTGTGAAACATCTTTGATATCTACAGGTATAATAGATTCTTTTGAGAAGGGCAAAGAATACTTATTGGTATATAAAAATTGGAGTTAATGAAACAATGCCAAAGAAATGTTATCAGTTGAACTTTGAGATTTTATTAGAATAGTTTATAGTTCATAATTTCCTTTTCTTGGTGCATTATATTTTTGTTAGTTCCTCAGTGTTTGATATATTATCTTGTCAATGTGTATTAACCTCTAGCTTTCTGATTAATTCTAAATCTTTGGTAGATATATAATTGAGGTATTGATTTTGTTGTGACTTGGGTTTTTTGGTAATTTACTGATGGATTCTATTTATTTGTATGCTCAGGTGAAGCTGACAAAAGAATTGCATTTGGCCAATTGAGAAGATTTGCTTTGCAAGAATTACAGCTAGCTATAGACAACTTTAATGAGAAAAATGTCCTTGGAAAGGGGGGTTTTGGAAAGGTTTATAAAGGAGTGCTTTCAAATATTACTAAAGTGGTTATGAAACGATTAAATGACTATGAGAGTTCAGATGGAGATGCAGCATTCCAGCATGAAGTTGAGATGATAAGTGTAGCGGTTCACAGGAATCTATTATGTCTTATTGGGTTCTGCTCAACACCAACAGAACGCCTTTGGTGTATTCCTTCATGCAGAACGCCTTTTGACTTATTCTAGTGAATTTTTGAAGTCTTTTGATTTTATATATAGCTGGTGTATGGACGTCACTGGTAGCTCATATGTTTAAATAGGTTTGTGTGAAATTATTATTTTAAGTTGGAATATACTTTGTTTGCAATGTTGACATTAAAAGTTATAATTTTTTTTGGATGGATGCAAGTGAAATGGATGCAGATTATGGAATGGGTGATAATATATATATATATATATATATGTATTGTTTTGTTTGTATACATGTTACAAGTTGCATATAATACATATAAGTTGTGGACAAATTAATTTTTTTTTTTTTAAAAAAAAGAAACAAAAAATTATGTTTTTGTTAATTTTTTTTTTTTTAAAAAAAAGAAACAAAAAATTATGTTTTTGGCTACTAAACAATTGGTAGCCAAAAATGGAATAAATATTTTTAACAACTAAATAGTTAGTAGCTAAAAAACGAATTAAATGGAAATAAATCTTTTGGCGACTAAATATCTAGTAGCCATAAACAAAAGACTTTAGGCAACTAATGATTTAGTAGCCAAAAAAAAAAAAAGAAAATTAATTGACGACTAAAACTTTAGTAGCTAAACAAAAACTAGACTTTAGGCTACTAAACCATTTAGTAGCTAAAAGAAATAAGATGAACAAAAAAAGAAAATTAGTGACTAAAAGTTTGGTCGCCCTAAATGATTAAGTTTTTGGCGACAAGAAATTTTAGTCGCTAAAAATATAATGTTAAATTTATTATGAACTTTTGGCGACTAAACAATTAGTCGCCAATTGAATATTTTCAGTGAGTAAATAATTCTTAGTCGCCAATTGGGGAATTTCAGCAACTAAATAATGTTTAGTCGCCAATACCTTTCCCCAACAATAATCTAGCGACAAAGTTGGTGACCAAAAAGTTTAGCCGGCAAAACATTTTGGCGACTAAAATATGACTTTTGGCAACTAAAAATTTAGTCGCCAAAAGTGTAATTTGTTGTAGTGATATCTACTTTTTTGCACTAGTGGCCGGCAAGCCACTAATAGTGGTCGACCATCCACTATTAATGTGTGGCATGCCACACTAGTGGGTCTGTAGGTCCCTGGATGCTCAGGCCTAAAAAACCATTGTTTTGGTCCAAAACTGTGACAATTAGGTCTCTTTTTCCCTTCCTTTCCTTCTTCGTTCCATTCCCTTGCTTCGTTGGATTAAAACGTTTGGAAACTATTTCTTTTGAATAGCTTTTTATTCTTGTTTTTGGTTCAGTGGTTTAATTTCATCCATTCTGGAGTGGGCACGGTCAAGTCCGAGGCATCCGGGAATCGTGTCAGAAAAATCTAGGCTGGAAAACAAGGGCCGCACGTGCGGGAGGGGGCTGCACGTGCGGGAGGCCAAGCCGCACGTGCGAGAAGAAGGGGCTTTTGGTGGATTGCACACTGCTTAAAAGGCACGTGCGGGAAGAGATGCGTGATGAGCCCTGTACGTGTGGAGATGAAGGCCGCACGTGTGGGAAGGGGCGCTCCGCACGTGTGGGGATGGGTGCCGCATGTGCGGCACTCTGCAGTCCGAAAATCCCTTTTTTTTTTCTTTTCTCTTTTGGTCCGAAAGTGTGCCTCACTTTTGGCACTTCTCTCTCACTCTAAAGACCATTTTCTCTCCTCCTTCTCTTTAGAAATCCAAATAACAACACGTAAACCCTTTGAATCCTTGCAAATCCTTGGGTTAGATCATCACCTCTCTCAAAATTTTGAAGATCTAAGCTAGAGTTCATCTTGGTGTGGTAGAAGGGTGAAGGATCCTCCATTAAAGCTAGGGTTTCATCATCTTCTTCATCAAGGTCTTGTGGTAGGGAAATCTCCATGAATTATATATACATTTATGTTGGATTTGGTTGGTTTTAAAAGGTTCCATTAATGGTATTAAATGCTTAGATTTGCCTCATAGATACTAGGGTTCCAAAATGGATTTTTAATCTCTCTCTTTTTTTTTAAACGATCCTCTTGAAGCTTTTAACTCATAAAATAGTAGATGTGATATTTTGAGAGAAATATCCTCTCAAAAGAGGGGGAAAATGGTTGTTTTGGCGTTTGACTTAAAACCCTAGAAAATATTTTTGGGGATTTTGAAAGGTGAAAACATGTTTAGAGATATCTTGTGGTTTCAAAGATTAGAGAGCGAAACTTTCATCACATTGTGTAGCATAGTGGTAATTTACTTAGTGTATGAGAAAAGAGTTATTATCATAACATTATTGTCGAACATTTGAAAGTGATTGTGCACCTTCGTTAGAAAAATTGTGAATATTGAAATTGTCAATTGAAGACATCGCATGTGACCTTGAAGAGGTTAAATTGTTATAAATTGAGCATGAATAAATGTTGCTATAGCTATGAATGGATGGCATGGCCATTGGTAAAACAATGTTGAGGAGAAGTAATGAGTAAAGTGGTGAATTGATTTTGTCGTAGAAATGTTTTGAAATGGAGTGATGTTTGAGATATTTATATTGCATCATGTTCCCATTTGGCTCGTCGTTATTATTGCACACTCATTATCATGTTATTTTGAGAAGGTTTACACTATAATGAGAACTATGAAACTGTGTATGGGGTAAATACGGTGGTAAGTCCGGTTAGGGGGTGTAGATGACTTGGATAAGTTAGCCAGAGTGTCCATGGTGAAAGACCAGAAAACCGTGCGGATAGGTGTCGAGCCTTCCGATTAATACTGGTAAAAATGACAGTTTGGTAGTACTCGTAGAGTCTACTTGCAGACACCAGCCTAGGGATGCCAGTGTCGTATTTACCACCCCTTGTGATTAAAAAGTTTAAATTGGAAATTGATGAGATTGTAATGGTAGATGAAATGCATGTTGACTCTCAAGAAAGACGTGAATGATATTTTGAAAAAGTATTGCATTGCATTTGAACTTGCATTCAATTTTGGCCATCCAACATACGTATATACTTTGTTTGGTGTTTCTCTATTTGGCTTTATGCTCACCCCTATGGGATTTGGTGCAGGTAAAGACGTGGTGATCTCACCAAGTTGAGGGCGTGGATAATTGTAAAGAGCACATGGCTCTTCTTTTGTTGTGATTTCTTTTTGTAAAGCCAAGGGCTAACATGTATGGGTTTGAAAGACTCCTTTTGTGTAACTGGGCTATTGCCTTGGATGATGTAAACCCGTACGGGCACTTTATTATTTTTGTGATAGGTGCTTCACATGCTATTGATTCATATATCCTTTTGTTTAGTGAATGTATATTGCATGTGGAACTTTTGTATTAAACCCATTTATTATATAAATGAAGATGGAAGAGTTTTTGACAATGCATAGAGGATGCTTGTTCGTTTGGGGTTTCATGCTGAATTATTTTTGGGGCTTGACAAAAGCAAGGCACAAGGTTTGTAGGTTCAACACTGAGTTTTCTTGTTGAGGAAGTCAAGCATTTGACAAGCGTACACATTCATCATTGAGTAATCAATCAGTGGCACCCAAGTCTTAAGGCCGTCAAAATGGGGTGTCTACAGCTACCCCTCTTTGACAGAGCTCAAAGTCGTGACATGATGTGAGTTAATGTCAAAGCCCAAAGATGACCTATTTTGACAAGGCCGTAAGACTTGGGCAAATAATCAAGACATAAATAAAATTAGTTGAGCTCACAACCTGCCTATGTATCCCTTTGTAGGGAATCAAACCAGTATAGTTCTGGAGCAGGATGCAAATGATATGCATGAAAAAAAAAATAATTTGAGAGCTGGACTCACACGCTTCCCGAAGCCGGCTATTTTGAAAACTCATGATCATGCAAGATGATGCATTGAGCAATAACAGATGAGATAAGTAATAACAAGATAACAACATATGAATGAGCTTCAAGCTTAAATCAAAATGGGTTCCACAAGGGAAGAACTAAAAAAGCACACTCTAACCATGCCGCAGCCATGAGAAAAAGAGAGAAAAACCGCTAAGGGTCGCATTTCACGCATCCTGAGATACTCTAATCACACTGAAATTGTGAGAAGAGGAGAGAAAAAACCGCTCAGGGTTGTGTTTCACATGTCCTAAGATAAAAATTGCTCAAGGTCGCGTTTCATGCATCCTAAGATACCCTAATCATGCTGACATCGTGAGAAGAGGAGAAAAATCGCTCAGGGTCGCATTTCACGCATTCTGAGGTAGAAACCGCTCAAGGTCGCGTTTCACGCGTCCTGAGATAGATACAACAAGGTATGAGATTGTGCGATAGATACACAATGTAATGTGAAAGTGTACGATAGATGCATGAGGTAAACAGGTGCGATTGATGCACAAAGTGAACAAGTGCGATAGATGCACGAAGTGAACAAGTGCGATAGATGCACAAAGTGAACAAGTGAGATAGATGCACAAAGTGAGCAAGTGCGATAGATGCACAAAATGAGCAAGTGCAATAGATGCTCAAAGTGAGCAGGTGCGATAGATATACAAAGTGAACAAGTGCGATAGATGCATAAAGTGAACAAGATTACAAATCAATACAGTGACAACGCATGTTCCATGCAAGATAGACAACCGACGTATGATGTTAATTGAAAGCATGTTCTATGCAAGAAACAAGAGCATATTCTATGTAAAATTGAAAGCATATTCTATGCATGAATCATCAATGATGGAGGGCATGTGTGCAACATAAGTGTATGTGAAAACGCACATTCTATACAACAAAAGAGAAAAAATATTTTATTTGATAGAATGACCAAAAGTGATGCTTGACAACAACCTCCGACTTACCCCTCGAACACTTTGCAACATGCTCAAAAGGATACACCTTGTTCATATTGGCAAGTGGAGAACGTTCGCGCGTCGGAACACAACGAGTATTAGGAACGGCGCAATCAGAACACAGTTTCGAGCTCCTCAAAAACCAATCTAGACCCAAAAAAGAACCTTCCATACATTGCTAAGGAAAAAAAGGAACAAAACAACACTAGGCCACAAATGAGGACTGTCGGCCACTAATGAGACCTGTCTGCCACTAATGCAAAATCTGGGGCAAAATTAGGATTTTGGCATGAGTCTTCTTAAATACACCACCACACCTCATTTGTTCACACACCCAAGTTTGAAAACACACACACACTCTCTCTCTAGGTGTTTCCTCTCTCTAGATTTGTGCTTTGTACACGTTTTCCAA